TGGAAAGCACTTTCTCGCTATTTCGTAAATTTTTTATATATTTTCTAAGTGAAAAAAATTTTCTTTAAATATGTTGTAAAAAAACTATTTGTTATAGCTATTTATGAAGTTTCTCAATATTTTGTTTTCTGCAGTTTTTTTTATGCGGTCCCTATCTACCGCACAAAAACAAGTTTCACTGTAGTTAGAAACTCTTGAGAATCGTCAATTCACGATTAAGAGAACGTGCAACATGTGGTTCGTGGACCAAAGAATCGTAAATTCTTCCAAGCCACGCGTATAATAAATATAATGTCCTCATCTTGATACAGTGTTGGGCAATTATCACATAAATTCAACATCTGTATTTGCAAGATCTGAATGGCTCATAAATTTCAAATATCTTAAAAGGACACTTACTGCAACCTCTAGGAGGCAACGGTGGCGCTGGTTCGGGACCAGGCTCACTCCACGACGTTCTTAAACCAGTCTGATCCACTCCATCCGTCGGCGTTGGCAGAGAATGTCTCAATGGTAACTTTGGACTTAACGGCTTGCTCAGAGATCTCTGATGCGTGGGTCTGGGTGGAGTAGTGCCATAACCCACCGAACGTGGCCGTACTTCCCGTTGCGGTATAGGTGGTGGTCCACCGTCTACTTTTGTGTAGAAACCTTCATCTTCGGGTAGGCCGTCGCTGTCCGCATGAGAGGTTCTGCAACCTGCCGTTTCCAATGTGGCTGGACGTTGCTTCTCGTTAACGGGCAACGGGGGCAACGGTGAACTAAAAAAGGAAACAAAAAAGTCGAGAATGTCCTTGCAAGTTCATTTGCAAGCAAAACGGCAGAAAAAAAAAAGGCAGAATTTTTGTAATTACTTGACAATGCTGTCCTGGTGAATTGTTCTTTGTCTTGCTAGAGGGCCGAGGCCTTGTTTCAGCTGGGTGAATCTTTCATTGAGTCTCTTATGCAGCGGTTGCACGCCAGCCGGTGCAATTTGCCCGTGTAGATTCAATCCAGCTTCCAAAACGCTCATCTGATCAAGAATCAAACCCTTCAGTCTGTTTACGTGTGGGACCATTTCCGGGTTTTGTCTGGCGAATTCAGGAGTAAGAAAAGCCTCTTGGTACTTGGTGATACCACCCATTACGTTCGCGTCAATGATGCCTTGGAGTCGCATGCTAAAGGGGTTAATGTTTCCATTAGGTTCGGCAGTGTATTGCGCGACGAGTCTCCTCAATTCTCTCTCCACGCTCAGCATAGTTTCACACGCGTATTGCACAGGAGCTAGTAACTCTGATCTCTTCTCGATCACTTCGAACCATCTAAGTATACCGGGTAGTTTCTCCTCGGTGGTTAACGTGGTTCTTTCGATCCACAGAGATTTGAACTCGTTCTCGCGATCGACCGGCCCTCTGTGAAGTGGTCGATCGAAGATAAACTTCCGGACGTCGTTTACCAAATAAAACGCGACCACTCGCTCGGGCACTTCTGCTCCCCGACAGGCTAGGCTATTTTCCTCCGGGATCGGTTTTACGTTGCAAATTTGTATGTCTGAAATGTTGCATTTGAAGCATTTGAAGCATGACGAGCATCCACGGTCTATTAATTGAAAGTAGGAGCAACGAATGAACTTACATTGTCCCTCGGAGGTAAGGATGCTCTCGTCGGGTGGTGAATTCTTCATTAATATCTGTGCGCTTGGAAATTCAGTCTGCAGTCGTTGCGTGAATGCCCCTATTCTTTCGTATTCTAAACCGCGATAGATGAATAGCTTATTCTGCAGATTATTAATATAACAAACAGGATTAAATCAACGAAATCTCATTCAACCGGATCTAATTCAAATTTAATTTACCTACCCTAACGAAGAGAGGGAAACTAAGACCGTAAAATCCTACTCTAAAGTACTCTGGTTCTGGTCGAAGCTGCGTCAATATATTGTCCAGGAATTTGGCTTGCAGTTTGAGTACGTTGCTGAGTTTCGCATAATCGTACAACCTGGTCTCGTACAACATTGCCAATTCCTTACACAGGGGGATACCTTTCTCCCAACATTTGCCTCGATCCAAGTAATGAATTATCTTGTGATAAAGAACTTCTTTTCTCTGCCATTCTGGCTGCTGAGGATGCGAATGATCAGGAGGTAAAATTGTCGAACTCCAGCCAAGCTGATCGGCGTATAATTTCATTGTAAATCCAGCTTCTGTATAGTTCTCAGCTGCTAAGTGGAGGTCGTGAAGCTTGTAAATATAACGCAGGTACATCTCCTTACGATTGAATTCATTTTTGTAAAAATTCTGAAGGAAAGAAAGTGACCGATCGTTACTTTACTTTGATCTTTGCTTCTCTTGAGATGGTTCACCAATGGACCTACCAATAAATTAACAGTACACGACATACGCTTGTCGCGATTCTCGTCCCCCTGAATTACGCTTCGGTAGTCTAACAGTCTTTCCAGTAAACGCGTAATTGACGTGATGAATGCAGTTCCGCTGTCCTTCCAGGCTGGATCCTCTGATTGAACTCTGTCTAATAATCTGCGGACAGAAATGGAATACGATGAGTCAAATGTTTCGTTCGAGTGCGTGTGAAAAGTATATGTAACTCAGTTGCGAATCATGCGATGATGCACTTACACAGCGCTAAGATGTTCCCTAACGCAGCATGAAAATTGCAAAATTGAAATAAATTACTAATGCGAATGAATGGATACACGGATACAGATTTTGTTTAATCAGAAACATTCTCACGAAAATAAATTACCACTCACATCGTGTTAAACAACTGTCTGTACTCGTCGTCACCTTTATTCTCGCTGATCAAGATATCCAGTTTGTCGATCAATTCCGATTCCACGGATCTGAAGCTACCGCGAGCTCGTTGCTCGCATTCCATCATGTCGAAAAAGATGTGCAACGTGGCCTTTCTCAGTTCACTCTCGGGTACCAAGGTAACTTCCAAGAAAGGACCTACCATTCCAGGAATGAACTCCAACTTACGGTCGCCCAAATATGTCCACATGGAGAGTATTTGAAAGCCCATCAACACTCTCATGTCTGCGTACTTCTCGACGATCTTTTCACGCTTCACCTCGGTGAATTGCTCGAGTTGCAAAGACGGCTGAGTGAGGTATGCTACGGCTAGATTAAAGTACGTGGACCAGAGTTGCGAGTCGAAGCTACCTTTCAAGGGTTGAGCGAGTTCCTGCAGGGACTTCAGGATAACGCTGTTCGCTTGCATTCTAATTACCAGCCAATCCGGCGGGAAGACCTCCTGTTTGACGAGGTCGCGTAGAACCAGGAAAGCTCTCAGAAGAAAGTTCTTCAGGGGTTTTTGTTCGCCGGTGTGAGCTAACTCCTCCCAAAGTCGGGCATAGTGATACTCGTCCAGAAGCTGAAGCAATCCTATCAAGCAAGCTACAAGGCAGCCCAACACGGGGCCGCTGGTGTTTATTACAATGAGAATGGTCTGTATCAGTATGTCCAAGATGGAAAGACAGAGGGTCTCGACGTCGTGCTGAATACAGTTATTAACTTTGTTCGTGTCTCGTCCCCTTTTGTGTAGAAAGCTGAGGATTTCTCCCAGAATCTCCGTGCAAGATCTGAGTTCCTCTCGTCTAACTAAGTGAACTTTCAAGTGTCGGCACATCGTGACCAACAGCAGGTTCCTGCTCTCGTCGTCCTCGCGGAACAACGACGAGGTAGTCAGGTTTTTAATAGCCGTTAATTTCGCTTGCGTGAGCTGCAACGGTGGCTCCCTTGGCACCGAGTCGAGCATCGTGCAAGTGAGCTTCGCCACCTCGAGGACTGGCAATACGGCGACTAGTTGCTCGAACACAGCCGAGATCGAGTAAAGTAAAGCTATCTGAGAGTGAAGCACCATCTCGTACGGAATGCCCAACATCTTGTTCAACGCGGCGAACACGCAGTAAAGATCTCGCTTGAAACTGTCCTCGTATTGGCCGGCTGTTGCTCTAGCGAACAACAGGCGACTCTGAATGATGAACTTGAAGATGTATTCCAGAGAACGGAAACACTTGATTATAGGCTCCTGCTTTTCCGCCGCGGTCACCCAATCCGCACAGTGTTGCACGCTGCTCAGAAGACCCTTGTACACCAGCGCGGCGGCGAAATGACCAGAGATATAAGCATCCATGACCGGCTTGAAATGCTCGAACTTGGAGTCCTCGAGAAGGCTGAAGATGGAAACGAGCACTTGGAAGACTAAACCCGAATGAGCCGTGGAGTTACCATCCTCTGTATGAAACATGGAAAACAAGGCATCCAGAATGTCCTGTAGGAACTTGACCAATTCCTCGCCGTCCAGTCGCAGCACGCGACCTAGGGCCTCCGAAATTCGTTCTGGATGCGCCTTCCACTGCAACAGGCTCAGAAGGTCCACGTTTTGCGTCAGTTTCGTGCTGCAAAGTAACGTATGAACGAACACGGCTTCCTTCGGCGACCTGGAAAATGCTGGCGAACCTGAAGAACCAAACCGAAGAGATGAGAGCCAAGATTCTAGATATTTAGAAAGAAACTTCTTAAAACGAGATGGTACCTGTCGCGTTTGGTTCTCGAGCACTACTGGGCAAGGTGAGGTAACTCAACGAATCCAACTTGGAACGATCCTCGCACTTATAAATGTACAGCTCGTGTGGGCCGTCTTGAAGCGTAGCTCCTCCAGGTTCCATGAGACGCACGAACGCAAAGGAGAACA